AGTTCTGAAAATTCCCAGCCATTCCTGTTTTACTTAACATTTTCCCCAGTTATTTTATAAAGCACTGATCTAGAAGTTGCCACAAAGAGACTTTGGAGATATAACGAATGTTCCAAATCAGCTGATCTTAAGACAGATTGTGTGGGTGGGCTTTCCTAATTGTAAGACTTGTTTAAATCTGGGTCTAGAGGTCAGAGGCGGAGATGTAAGAGACCTGCAGTATGAGAAGGATTTGACAAACCATTGCTGGTTTGCAGATGAAGGGGACCTTGTGGCAGGGAATATAGGCAGCCTCTGTATCTGAGAGCGGCCCTGGGAGGATAGTAGTAATGGTATGACACGTCTATGAGCCACTTTTGTTTCTGTGACCCAAACTGGAGGGCTTCCTCCTTAGAGCAGGAAATACATATTTTGGTTCATGGTTTCAGAGGTTGTCATCTATGGTGGACTGGCTTCCAGGCAGAAACATCATGGCACAAGGGCGTGGCAGAAGACAGCTGCTTCCCTCCTGACACCTGGGGAGCAGAGTGAAAGAAAAGAACCAGAGAGAAAGGGGCCAGAGACCAGAGACGATCCACACAGCCGCACCACTATGACCCACCCAGAATACCCAGAAATACATTTTACTAATTTCCCGGTCATCATGCAAGCCAGTTGGGTTGCCATTCAAGATTAACTTTCACAGAGACTCATTCCTACGACAGCAAGGAATTGAATTCTGTCCAGAACGAACTTGGAGGTGGATTGGTAAACCCCAAGAGCCTGCTGCTAAGAATTTAGCCTTGTTTTCTGCCTCTGCTGTAACCTTGCGCTACTCTAAGCAGAGAACATAGCCATACCGTGCCTGCTCTGCTGACCCACAGAACTGTGTGCAAATAAGCTGGTGTTTTGTTTTAAGCCTCTAAGTTTTGATAGTTTGTTAAGCACCAGCAGAAACCTAATACAATGCCAGTCATCACGGCAGGAAGATGGATTCTGTAACTGGCCAGCTCATACCACCCACCTAGCCTTGTGCTGGTAGAGGCTGGAACTGAGCATCCCTAGGTGAAAAAGAAGATAATTTTTTAAAACAGTGATTCTGGGCAAATTGCTTAACCCTAGTGTTTTTCCATTTCCTTATCTATATCATAAGACATTAAATATTGCCTCCCTTCTATGGCTGTTGGTTGATTAAATGAGATAATGCATAGCAAATACAGTCTGGCATACAACCTCAGCTCAGTCAGTGCTAACTATTATTATTAATGAAATCAGTGCAGGCAAACTTGGCAATATTACTTAAGAGCTGCAGAGAAAAGTGATTTACCTTCTTTCCAGGTTAACCTTTAGTCTTGAAGGCTGGTATCACCAGAGTGTCCTGCCATTATATTAGGGCTGATTTCTTTTTGTCTAATATGTTAGCTGGCATCTGAGTATAGGGAATGAAGATTGAGCTACGGAGTCTTGCAAAACAAGCAAATAAAAGAAACACAAAAGGAGCTACATGATTGGAAGTAAAACAAAATAATGGGATTCAGGAAGTTATGGTCTCTATTTATAAAGAAATATTTCTGTTTGAGATTCAGTGTTTCTGTGAGTCCCATACACACTTTTCTGAGAGCACAAAAAGTAATCAGAATACACTGGCCAAAGAAAGAGAATGCTGTGTGGATATTGTCGAGAGGAGAGTACATTTTTAATTTAAAACATCAGAACGTCCTTGTTCTCTAGGAAGGTCCATTGAAAGAGTCCTTGTTAGTACTAATTGGTTTAAACCTCAGATCTCAGTCGGAATCCACAGATGGTAACTGCTCATTGATGCACTAAAGCTTCTTAAGTTTCTCACAAAGATTTAGACTAATTGTAAAATATCTTCTGGAAGCCCATGGATTAGCAACTTGTTAGCCAGGAGGTGCTACGAGGCCTGAACGAATGTTAGACTACAAAGTAGCTCCTGCAAAAGACATTTTGGTGGATTTGCTATAGGGCTAAATATTCAGCTGAGAAGCAGAGGGATGCTGTATCGTAGACCCAGCAGAAAAATGGATTCTGGTTATGCAGGATCTGAAGCTTATAAAACTTTAGAATTCAACTTAAAAGTGAGAGTGAAGATATGTCTCAATAACGAGTTACAGTAAAAATAATTATATTTTGCAAATTTTACAAAACCATACTATGATGTAAATTCATAGGAGGAGGCTACCGGAGTCTCTGGAAGCAGTACATGCATTTGTTTAAACTTGATTGGATTCAGGGTAAATTTTATTCTACCTAACAATAAGATTAAATAGTCATATTTTTCTCTGGACAACAGAACCTGTAATCAGGGTCATACAGCCTTTTTTCATTCATACTTTTGTCTCCCTGAGCGATCTAAGCTTAACCAGTTGGTCCCTTGGATTCTTAGCATCTTGCTTTAATCTGGAAAACACAAATTCTTTTTTGTCGGTCAGCACTGGTACAGCAAGCAATGACTATTTTTAAGATACTTAATATCTTTCCTTGGGAAAAAAAATGTACTAATACACCATGTTACTATATTTTTCATCCTAAATTAAACTTTGAGTGACCTCAGACTCAATGGAGCAGAAGCTGAAATTTACAGTCCTCTTTTTATGTCTTTATATATCTGTCAGAATAACAGGAGAGAGAAAAGCCTTTGTTCTGAAGACCTGTAACTTATAGATAAAACGTATTTCATAAAAATCGCATGTTATTAGAGACTAAAGTATTATCAAATACCAGCTTAGGAAAAAGAAAAGATAAAGGCAAAGCTTTAAAGCAAGTGTTTCTAGGGTTAATCCAATAAAATTTAATGAAATGTAGGTGGAACAGCGTCTTAGTTAAAACAAAATGGAAACATAATGAACCAAAATAGAGAGACCTGTCTTATTCAGATCAAATATTTACTCTGAAGACATCTGCAGATATGTTTCGTTTCATTCTCCTTAGGCAAGTATGCTAAACGCTACTCTTGTCTTCTGAACAACGGTGGTTGCTTGCTGTAGTTTTACCTAAAAATTGCTTGTTAAATCAGGTTTGAGCCTGTTTGATGTTCAGTGTTGAATAACTCCCTGGTGTGAATTGAGAAAAAATTCTGAAAACTTGGCACTTGTTAGGAACATGTCTCATGCTGTTTGAGATGGTACTGTTTACTTCTTCTAACTTCCCAAGCATAATCGAATGCATTTGTCTCTAAAAAATAGAAAGTCAAAGCAGGTTGGTTTTCCCTTGCTTCCCTAGGTGTAGGACCTTGTGTATTAGTGTGGGCTCCTGTAGGATGCTAGCACCACGAATGGAGTGTCAGAGAGGATAAGTATGCAGGGCCACTGGTAGGGAAGCAACAAAGCAGAACAGGGAGGCCACCAAAAGGTGTGTTAGCAAGTAGATTACCTCCCTCTGGGAGAAGGTGTAAAGCACAGCTTTGCATCATCCGCCTGAAGGTGGAAGCTGGCTAATAATGTCACTTCCTTATGTCAGATGAGAACTGTTCTGCAGGCCTTGGCTCTGATACCTCTGTCCTCCCAAGCACAGTGTCTTCCTGTGGCCAGAGAAAACCCTTAGACAGGTAGAGAGATGCAGGTGCTCCTGTAGGAAGCTATAGGCATATGTGGAAACCCTGATTGGCGAAGGCGGAAAGTAGAACAACCAATAGCCTTTGCCATACTAGGCAAGTCATAATTTCAGGATTGGAAGGAAGATTGGAATTCACCCTACAAAATCTACTTCTTATAAACAAATTAGGATTGTAGATAGTTGAATTCGAGTTATTTTCATCGCCAGTGTTTTGATTCTTTCATTGCTGTACATCTTCCATGCGTACGTGTCCCTGGACATAGTAAGATCTTTGTACAAAGTCATGTTGTCTATGTGCTTGGTAGGAGTATTTTGTAAGAAGCATAATACAGGTGCCAGGAGGCTGACAAACACTTTGAAAATTCACAATTTCAAGTATCCTTGTTCTATCCTATCTCTAGCATGGTGGCTCTGTGGTGTGTGTGTGTGTGTGTGTGTGTGTGTGTGTGTGTTTAAATGTAAGAGGTGAAATCTGTATACCTGAATCACACAGATTTGGAGGCACTGGAAAAGGAAATCCAAACAGAACCAAATCAAGTGGGGGACTTAGTGTTCATCTTGGATTTTGTTCTAAAACAGTCTCAACTCAGGCCATTACGAAAGTTAAGCAAAGATAAAGGTTAGATATTTGAAAATAGACAGAGGACGATTTTGTGTATTTATCTTGGAGCTCTTCTTTCCTAAAAAGGAAATGGGGAATCAGCACATGAACTTGCTGTCCCTCAGCAGCCGTGTTTGAACTTTAAATTTGCCTGGCTAGGTTTTTTTTTTTTTTTTTTCCTTTTTACATCAGGGAGTCCTAGGGGAATTATAGATGCGCTGTTATGAGCAGCATTAATCAGAGATCCTGCAAATATTCTTCCGTGACTTACTTTGGAGCTGCCCCTCTGGATCCAGCAATACTAGTCAACACCTAGCAAGGCAGGTGACCAGAGGCACCGAGAAGCAGCCACATGCATCCCGGGAAAGCTAACCCTTGGCTGTGGGGGCATTTAGAAGGTTTCAAGATAGAGCCACACTCTGTGTGTAAATAATTCAAGAATCATGACATGTGTGACTTTTGTAAGATTTTAGTATTCAGGGAATAGGACTACAGTGGGTCTACTGGACTGAGGCTTAGATTCTCGTGTTAACCTTCAGCAAATTTCCAGTGATCTACACCTGGAATTATATTAAAGCTACTGCACAAGTACGACTAGTTGGGATGATGTATTGCCAATGCCTACAGGGACTGGATAGGAAAAGCCCTTCCTTGTGGAGTAATTACCGTAGAATGGTAGAGCTCTACACACTTCAGTCCTGTTAGACTCATCTGGGAAGTTCATTAAAGCGCACAATCAGGAACTAGTAGTCCGGGGGTGGAACACAGGGATTTGCATCTTAATGTTTCTCAAGTAGATTCTGAGGTGGCCAATCCGTGGACCACACCTGGAGAAATACTTTTCCCATGTCTCTTTGTCATGGGGATCTGCCTCACGTTAGTGGTGGAGGGATGTGCCCACCTCCCCACTGAGTGGACTGCAGCGCCTGGAAAATAGACCAATTCTTGGGTTATTTTTGGTTAGTTTGGAGAGAAAGTCACTATTTCTGAACTTCATATTTGGATGTATTAAATTAAAAAATATGCAATTGATGTATAGCATATATCTACCTAAAAATTTTAAAAAGTGGGAGACTTTCCTGAAGCCTATATGCAAATATAACCCAATCAAGGAAACAAACAAAACTAAAAATTTGCTAATATAATAAATGTCAGATGTCAAATAAGGTTTTGGGATTACAAAAACAGCAGGGAGGGCTGGGGATTTAGCTCAGCGGCAAAAGCGCCTGCCTAGCAAGCGCAAGGTCGTGAGTTCAGTTCCTGGTACCGGAGAAAAACAAAAACAAAAACAAAAACAAAAACAAAAACAAACAAACAAAAAAAACAAAAACAGCAGGGAGAGTTCTGGATCAGATCGGTAAAGGAGAGGAAGCCATCCTGGTGGCAGACAGTGATCCAACTTGTGGCTAAATGACACATGCCCCATTCTGATCTGTCATCTTTGCCCTGTTCAGCTGCCTCCTTTTTCAGGGAGAGAGCTCTTTTTAGCACAGATAGCAACAAGTAACTCCTTTCATGCAAGCGTCAGGATCACAGTTGCTGTTTGTCACAGATCACCCTGAAATAATCCTTACGGAAAGTTAGTGCTTGCATGGCATGTTCTCATATCCTTGCAGAATTATATTGCTTTAGTCTATCATTTTCTCTTCACTTGATTTCAGCTATTGTCACTAATACCATACACTACACACAGAGAATCCACGGATGCCCCAACTCCTTGGTGTAGCAACACTTCAAATGTAATTATTTGAATTTAGATATTGGACACTCACTTCCTTTCAAATGTAGTGAGAAACTTTTAGGAATCCTCCAGAAACATCTGTGATAAGTATAGTCTTTTGGAAACTGATTTTCTGATTTAATTAGGAAGATGGTCCATTTGGAATGCAAGTCTTTTTTTTTTAACTGGAAGAAGACTGACATATTTTTACTCATTGGTTTTACTGAAGCACAAATGAAATATCATATTAGGAGCTAGTCTCTGTTGCTCGAGCCCAGTGACCATATTTAGCTATTTTTACATGTCCAGTGCTTCGCATAATGCTAGGCTTATGATTAATTAACTCATGCCTGAGTTCAATTAATTGTTGGATGAACTAAATAAACTTTGCAATTGCTGGTGATTACACTGAGGACACTAGAATAGTCACTCACTAGATGAAAGAGTAAAATAAGTTGGGCAAATACATAGTACATATGTTGCTATTGTCTCTTGTTGATTGCTTAGTAAGACATTGCTAATGCCTCATAGCACCCTTTCTTTGGGGCAAGGATGCTGCCTTCTAATCACTTTCAACTGTGCTCTAGAAGACCCTAAATTGTGGGAGGGAGTATGCAAAATAGGAAAACTTTTTTTGGTAAGTTCAATACTAGTATAAAATAAATGCCTTCTACTTCCAAGAAGATAAGAAAATTTCCTAGAGATTGCAAACAGAGTTCATCTTCTTTGTCCATTCCTAACTGGCTATCTGTCCTATCTCTGGCTCTGTGATAGGATTTTGAGATTACAATAGGAGTTTGAAAAAAAGAGCGATTCTGTCTTGGGTGTGCCGGAGAACAATGAGGGCACTCTGCTGAGCATTTCCTATCCCCCTCAGGAACGTTTTTGGCTCACCACTATCCTAAGCAAAATGGGGAAGTGGAGGGAGTAGAGCGAAGGATGACAAGAGAGCTTCAGAGTCGAAGCAGAGGAGGGGAGAGAAGAGAGGCTGTGTGACAGAAACAAGAGTGCTGTGAAGCAGGCAGTGTGCGAATGTGTCACTACCAGGGACCCAGATGTCACTTGGTCCTCATGGATTTCAATTGCTGTCCTGTGCAGCGACTGCCACATTCAGAAGGCAGTTTCTTGTAAGTCTAGGACTCAAAATACCAATAGAGTTGAAGAGAGAAAGAGAACTAAGACTATGAACTGAGAAAGGCTCGGCAGAAATGATTTTAAATTCTTCCCCACTCTTATCGCCTCTGCCCCCTGCCTCCCCAATCCCAGTGGTGCTATAGGGGTTAAGCGGAAGAGAAGAAGGGGAATACAACATTTTGGCTATTATTTATTCATCTATCATGTGAGAGGCACTGTGAAAGTCACTGGGGCTTATTTAGAAGTGAGTGAGACCTGTTTTCCATCTTGGGGCAGGGGTCCCAATCTGGAGGGAGCGAAAGATCCATCAATAATATAGCATCTACTAGAAATATGAGAGTACTATGATGTATGTATGAGTAAAAGGTTATTAATTCTGCCTATGGGAGCTGGGGAGTTTCAGTTGTGAAAAATATTTAATAATACTGTATCATTGGAGATATTCATTTTGATAAATTGTTACCAAGATAAATAACTTGCTGTAGAAAAAGAAACTCTAACCTAGTCCAGAATTTCAAAGTAGATACAGTATACTTTGCTATATTGATGGATTTGTTAGGAAAAGCCTGTAAAATCTCAGCATGCTTTTCCTCTTAAAAATATGATATATGAGCATTAAATTCAATGAAGCAAATCAAAAGACTTGGATAAATGTGCTGGTCAGTAAAAGGCAAAATACTTTTCCCACAAAGCCTATCTAAACCTTTGCTGATTTGAGTTGAATTGCTTAAAGAAAAGGCTTATTATGTAATATAACCCTAAAATGCTTGCGTGTGATATTGGGAGTCTAGTAATTCCAAAATGTGAGAACTCATAATAAACTAATCTTATTTATGTGAAGAAGTCTAATCAGTGTGAGAGTGTTAGTTTTTGCAGATCTAATTGCTCACTGGACCATCTACTGGAGTTAGAGATGCAGATAAAGGGAATCCATTCTTCTGTAAGAACATGCTTATCGTGCAGGCTTATTGACCTTTGTGGGGTTTCATTACCTGGACTTTCCAGTGGATGCCTCTGTGTTATATGCCCAGTAGTTGTTCTATTGATCTTCTCAGGGGGTTGGCAGGCATCTCAAGGCATTGGGTTGCCTGAAATATTTGGAAGGAATGTTGAATTTTAGCGCTGTTTCCTAGGTCCTTTCTGTTCTCTGCTGTGACGTCACACCATCAGTCTTCAAGGAGCTTGTATTAATTAAAGGGCAAGGTTTAAAAAAACCACACTCTTATTTCACCAAAGCCCTTTTATATGAAGTAATGATCCAGAGTAGATAGATAAATAGTTCAATAAAGACATTGGATGTCAGTTCACATGGTGAGAAGTTGAAGTATCCTTTTTGGGAGAAAAATTTTAAAATGGGATAATTGTGTAGATACCACTGGGCACTAAACACTGCTTGAAATAGAAATTACCAGTTTGGTCAAAATACATGATAGATTTAATTGGGAGAGAGAAGTATACAATAAATTGTGTGTCCAGGCAATGTAAACATTACACAAAGGTCAAAAAGCCTTCAAATCTGAGAAATTTGAACCGTCCAGAGACTGACAAAGAAGATTTGAATCTGTAGAGCAATTTGAGAATCAACAGAGTGAGTTTTCCTAACTCTTCTGGTAAAAATGGGAAAAATTTTCTACTGGGACTATGCTGTCAGATATGATTAGTTCCTTTCTTCCTCTTTTACTTGATTCCTAACTATTTATCAATTTTTATGCTTTTAAACTTTCTCCAATATGAGCAAATGTAAGTTGTTTCTCTTGAGAAATAACTAAAGCAATATAAACTTTTTCTTCTGTCTCTTCCCTGAATCTCTAAAAGGGCAGTTTAAAGTTTTTCAGCCTCAATGAATTAATGTGTACCATCTGATTATCATATCCGAGGCAGACAGGGTGTTGAAGCAAAACTCCATATAATTTAGTTTGCAACGTAGTAATCCTATTTAACATAGTGGAATTCTTTATTTTTATAATAGACTCAGAATTGAGAACACTAGGAGATGTGGTGCTTGCAACATAATAATTGCTATTTTGGGGAAATTGGACTGCATAATGCAAATACATGCGTTCTAGATAAATTTAGATGCAAATTTAGTAATTTTATGATAAAAACGATTACTTTTGGCTGAATGATCATTTAAGATACATCACATTAGCAAAGCACAGGCCAAATCCAACTTTAAGCTCAAAAATAGATTTTCTAAAAAAATTCAGCAGACACTTTGGTTATAATTTCTTATAATTTCTTTCCAGAGATTGTTTGTGGATCTGCGTACCTAAACAAATATGTGTGTTCGTTCCCCAAAACCTTTCTTTAAAACTTGGGCCAGGGGTATAGCTTAGTAGCAGAGTGCCTTGCTCAGCATGCACAAGATCCTGAGTTTGATTCCTGGTACAAAAAAAAATACTTTTCTACACTACTCCTTCCTTTCTCCCTTCCCCGCTTCCTCCTTTCATCCTTTACCTTCCCCCTTCAGCCGTTCCCCTCTCTCTCACTTCTTTCCTTCCACTCAGCTGCTGCCAGCCTTTCTTATCATGATGCATCAGGGTTCATTCCATTTCAGTACATTCATTTCACAGAGTTATTATTTCTGATTCCATTATACGGATGTGCCATTTTTTATTTAGCCACAAATTTAACCATATTTAAAGTCATTTTTTGTTAATGGCTACTTTGTTGTGTTTTTTTGTTGCTGTTTTTATGGTAGCTTTGTTGCTGTTTTTATGGTAGCACGAGTACATTTATACAAATACCACACCATATACATGAGTCTATACACATATTGGCATCATACATTTCTGAAAGTGGACTTGCTAGGTCAGAATGTGAGGATATTGGTAACTGTTATAGATATTGTTAAGTAGCTCTCCATAGTGGTTTGTGAACTTAGCCTCCCAGCAGCAAGGAGAGAGAATGCCGGCCTCTCACTTGTGGCAGCTCAACGCGTTACCTAAATTCTGAGACCTTTGCTTATGTCAGTGAAAGCTGGTATCTTCCTGAAAGAGTTAAAGACATCATATTACAGTGATCCATGCACACCCATGTTTATAGCAGCACAATTCATAATAGCTAAGTTCTGGAGGCAGCATGTATGCCCATCAGCAGATGAACCAATAAAGAAAATGTGGTATTTATACACAAGGAGGTACTACTCTGCCATTAAGAAAGATAAACTTGAGTCATTGGTAGGAACATGGATCCACCTAATAGAATATTAAGACCATAATATTAGGTGAAATAAATCAGACACATGAGCTTAAATATTGCATGATTTCCCTTAGATGGGAAACCAAAAGTGTAAATAATGAGCCCAAAGCAAAAAAAAAAAAAAAAGGTAGATAATAGGGAGTAGAAACACAGAGCTTTCTCAAAGGGGGAAAAGAATATAGAGATGGACAGAGGGGTAAAGAGGTGAGGGAAAGGGGGTGAAAAAGGAATGAAGCTGTGCTATGCTTGTGTTCATGTACCAACTCCATACAAGAAATAGGAACATTACCTATTGTGAACACGTGCCCAAAAAGGACGAGTGGAAGGGGGAGGGAAGGAAAAGAAGGGAGATTTTAAGAAAGGAAATCAGATTTATTTAAATTTAAATAGAATAGTAAAAAAAGAGAACAATAGCAAAATACAAACAAAATGAAGCAGGACATTAAAAATGATATGGGGTTTCAAACTAAATGATAGGGATTAACAAAAGAAAAGATGTATTATGTACATTTATCAGTTCCCCAAAGGAAGGTAAATATTACATACTGCAAACAAGTACTAATAAGGTAATTTTCAAAATAGAATTTCAATCTTGTTTTAATTTATATTTCCTTATTAAGAATGAAATTTATCAACCTTTACAAACTGTTCAGACCCTTTTATAATTGAGTTATTGCTCTTTTACATATTATGTTATAAGGGCTCCTCTTAATTTAGGATTTTTACTCGTTTGGAATATGTTACATTTTAAAATCTGTTCTATCAACTATTTCTCATAAGATGACATTAAACATCAGAAAATGTTAACAATTCACTCCAAATCCTACAAACTAGAACACCAGGAGGACATGCTTTGAGTCCTTCCACAAGGCTTGATGTCTTTTACATGTTCCCAAAACACCAGGGACGTTTTCATCACGGACTCAGCCTGGCTGCAATGCTAGGCAAAATGCTGTCTTCTCTGGTAGACTGTACACTTCAGGAGATCATTTTGTTTTAAAAAACAAACATTTTGTTTTCCTTGTATTTTGCCATATAGTAGTTTTAGCCATGTGGAAACTTGTGTTTTATGTGCCTTAAGTCATCAGTATTTTTTAATGACTAATATAATCAGAAATCATGACCTATATCGACTCTTCCACTATGGCATTTTAGCAAGTACTTAATGTTTATCTTTCAATATTTTGCTCAATCTAGAAATGATTCTGGTTCAAGCTGTGGCCTTCTTTACAGCTTCCGTTTCCCTTCTCTACATTGACTGCAGTGCCATCTTTGTAACATCCAAAATCATCTGATTAATTTGGGTTTATTTTTGACTCATTTCACAGAGACCTGAGTGGAATTTTAATTAAGATTTTATAATCCTTTGAAAACATCTAGTAATCCTACTTCTCCTAAATTTCTCTTCATTTTCAGTTTATATACATATACATATGTATTTTTTATTTTAAAGAGAAAAAAAGCAATAACAAAATAACAACAACCAAGGCAAAAACAAAACTACACAAAAACAGTGAAAATGGTATAGAGGGGTTAGGGATATAGCTCAGTGGCATAAGCACCTGCCTGGCAAGTGCAAGGTTCTGTGTTCGATTCCTGTAACTGGAAAAAAAAATTAAAAAAAATGAAAATGGTATAGAATTTCAAAACAAGATGATAGGAATTAACAATTGTTGTTATATTATATAGTGTTATTGTCAACAAAGTTGCTCAGATTACCAGATGGAAGAATGCATGATTGGTCAAACAATTAAAGAGAACAAAAAATAATAAAAAACATTAGAAATGATGCAGAGCTTCACTAAACAAGGTGGTAGGAATTCGACAATGGTTATTCTGTTGCATACTGTCTTCAAGTTAGTTGTTCAGATTACCAGATATAAGCATGCAAAGTTGTTCAAAAAAATTTAAACATTAACTGTTCCTTTCAATAAACCAGTAGACATCAGAATTACAATTATTCCAGCTATCATTGTATATACCTATATATATATATTTTTTCCCTTCCTTCTTTCTTTCTTTTCTCCTTTCCCTCATCCCAGTTGTTCCTCTCCTTTGAGAAACTTCTTTCCCTTTCACACTATCTGTTGTACTTTTGGGGTTGTATTTATTCTTTCAGTTTCTTCCACTAGGGAGACAATATCATGTTTACACATGCAGCTCTACTTTATTTCACTTATAAGTATGGTCTCTAATTGCATCTCACCCTAGAAAGAATGGCTATTATCAAGAAATCAACCAATAACAAATGCTGGGATGGCTGTGGGGAAAAAGGAACCCTTCTCCACTGTTGGTGGGAGTGTAGACTAGTGAAACTGCTGTGGGAATCAGTGTGGAGATTTCTCACAAAACTAGGATTAATGGTTCCCCTTAACACAGCTATTTCCCTTCTGGGTATTTTTCCAGAAAAACTGACAACATTATACCATAGTGATAAATGTGCACCCATGTTTATAGCAGTACAATTAATTTGTCATAGCTAAACCTTGGAAACAACCCAAATGCCCCTCAACAGAGGAATAGATAAAAAAGATGTGGCATTTTTTATGTAATGGAGTATTACTCAGCTATAAAAAAATAAACTTGAGGCTTTTATAGGTATATATATATATTTTTGAGACAGGTGTAGCCATGTAGTGGAGGCTGGGTTTGAACTCACTTATGTAGCCCAGGCTCGAACTCGTGGTAATCCTCCTACCTCAGCCTCCTGAATGCTAGAATTATAGGCATGAATCACCATGCCTGGCTATATTCTTATTTTTATATGAACTTTAGAATTCATTTGCTCAGTTAAAAATAAATTAGTTTTCTTATTGAGATATTATTAAATACATAGCTAATGAGAGGTATTAACTCTGTAATACTGAATCATCTAGGAAAGTGTATG